TGTGTGTGTGTGTGTGTGTGTGTGTGTGTGTGTGTGTGTGTGTGTGTGTGTGTGTGTGTGTGTGTGTGTGTAGTCGTTGATGCTTAACCACAGCCGGGGTTAACATGGATTATCACTTACAGTGTAATCAGTTAGGGGATTCTGCAGACTGTTGAGGGTTCAGCCTCCTGATGAGTCGGTGAAACTCCGATGAAACAGTTTTCACAGCCCCTCGTTTATTGTCCTCTTCCCCCTCTCTGCCTACGGTTTACCGGGCAGCTCTGTTTGACTAAAGAATATATATATATATATAGTATTTTTTGCCTTTGCGCTCTGATATTCATGTGACGATATATACTCCGACGTTGCTAGCTCTCTGCTTTTGTAGATGATGCGGCGAGTGTCGGGCCTGTTATGGTAGAAAATATTGTTCTAATTTTCTTGTGTTGCTCTTCCCCATTTAGGGGGTATTTCGTTTTGCGGACCTACTGTATGGTTCCGTTTTTTAACTATGGATATGGTAGAATTTGTTTTGGTAACCTTGTCTGCATCCCGGTTGGTTTTGTCCAGTTGTTCGGTCTATTTCACGGGCGTAGCGGTGCTTTCATGTGGAACCAGTCATCCGGGCTTTCTTTTATCGTCTTGGCATCTTAGTTGGTTGCTTCCCGTTGTTCGGCCTGTGTGAGGGGGCGGTGCTTTTATGTGGGAATCATCATCTGGGATTGTCTTTTATCAAGTTTTATGTTTTTTTTGTCCCAGTAAGAATGGCCATAGGAATGCCAACTTCTTGATGTCGAACAAGGCCGTCTGCTGTATATAGATATGTATCTGGGATTCCTTTTTTTTGCAGACAAGAGTGGCTTGTCCTGGGTGGTCTTGTCCCGTCGTTTGGCCTGTGAAGGAGGGGCGGTGCTTGCATGTGGGCCTTGTCATCTAGGATCCGTTTTTTGTGCTGTTGCTTATTGCCCCCTGTTTTGTTGTATTTGGCTGTTCCCTTCCTCTCTTCTTTGCCTCTTTGCCCTTTGGCTGTGTGCAAGTGGGTCGATATGACACACGGGGGTGGGGGCAGCCGCCGCTCAGCCTACATCCACGTGGGCGGCCTTGTATGCAAGAGGTTCTGAACAGGGGGAGTTGTAAGAAAGAAGATAAAAAAACGAATTATTTTTTTCTTGTTTTCTCCTGTCTTTTTTCGCCTTTGCGCTCTGATATTCATGTGGCGATATATGTATATATATATAAATATATATATCGTCAAATAGAACTGCCCGGTAAACCGTAGGCAGAGAGGGAGAAGAGGACAACAAACGAGGGGCTGTGACAAACTGTTTCGTCGGAGTTTCACCGACTCATCAGGAGGCTGATATATATCGTCATAAGGCCATACTTCAAAGAGCTTTATGCTTCGAGGAGGTAGAGTCAAAGATTTGCCTGGTGTAAAATACCAGTGTATTCGAGGAGTGAAAGACTTGCAAGGAATTCCTAATTGACGTCGAGGCAGATCAAAATATGGTACCAAAGAACCCAAAATTGAAACATGACCCGAAAAATCTCACAAGTCTCGCTTACCCCAAAACCCAGGGGCGTGTGCCAAAGGGCTCGCAAGAGCCGGTGCCGGGTCCCCGACCGAAGGCGTGTCAGGCACGCCACAAAGGTTACTCAGTTGGAGAGCCGTGTGATGGGCAACCATCTCGCACGGTTCGGAGAGCACTTTGTTACAGCTGACTATAACGTTTTACTACGGTCTATCAACTCTTGACTCAATTTATTATTATGGAGAACGATTGTATACTAGATGACCAGTTGCGGCTTCGCCCGCAAAAACAGAAAACTAAAAAGCACAAAAGAAAGAAAAAGCGTAAGGAACTGCCCTATCATATGCCGCTTCTTTCACAAAAACAAAAAGAAGAGCCTGAGAGCAGACAGAAATCCACGTGCAAGAAGAACCTTTTTTGTTTCTTTATCTGCGAGTGTTTTGTTTGGGAAGCCGATACCTTTGCAGCATCATTTTTTTTTTTTGTGTTGTGCAAGAACTGTGACCTTTTATGAGAAAATCCTGTCCGTTGTCCCATTGACGTTTTTGCTAAAGATTCTGATTCAGACTTTTGTTTGCTATGTTCTCTGAATATGTTTGTGCTAAAGCGATCTTGCATGTATGCCCCGTGCTTACTTGCCGAGTTTTGACTCTATGGGTCTCGTTAGACACTCCTAAAAGTGCCTGTTTTTAGGATTGTGCCTTGGTTGCACGCAATCCTAAATCCAATTTTGAGATCGAAAATGTGAAAACGGCGTTAGGACGAGTCCTAAAGGATTTAGGAATCCCCAAACAAAATTGTCCTAAATTTTCCAGTAACCCCCGACCTACTGAAAAATTTAGGATTCCCGCGTTTCACGGACTCGTTGCGTCGCGCGCATGGCACCGTCGACACGGAGTTGCTGGTGCAGAAGCGGTCCGTCGGGTCAGTGGTCGTAGATCGGAGGTTTTTCGCGGGTCGATGTGGGCAACGGCCTCGAATGGTAGCTGTTGGCGGGGATTGGACAGACATTGGCAGACATTGGTGACACTGCTGCGTATACGCATATGAAAACCGGCTGCGGGAGACTTTTTAGGACGAATCCTAAAAGATGATTTTTAGGATTGCGTGTAACGACGCCGCATGAATGATGTCATTGATGATTGGCCCGGGGAGGTTGTTGGAAGTCGCCTCCAACTATAGGAGTGCCACTGATGTTAAGCAGGTTTGGCATTGTATGAATGAAACAATCCGCATTCAATCTGCTTGGCAGTGGCTCTTCGCGTCGGGGACTTGTCGGGAGTAGCGTTGACATGGGAGCCATAATGTCGGGCATTCATTTTGCAACATTTCCTAGAAGGCAGAAGGCAAAGAAGAAACGAAGTAGCACGTGCCCCCCCCTTCTCTCTCTTTCTCTCTCTCTCTCTCTCTCTCTCTCTCTCTCTCTCTCTCTCTCTCTCTCTCTCTCTCTCTCTCTC